TATTGAAACAATTGGTGGAAGAAAAAAAAAAAAACTTATGGAGATATGATATCCTTGTATGTGAGTGAGCCACTCTATAAATAGGGACAAAAGGTATGTGAAGTTGGTTTATTTATTATTTTGCTAAATGTATTTGATGTGAGACATAGACTTGCATGGACTTTCCTTACACACATATATATGTTAACTCAATTATACATATCACATGTTAACTCAAGCTCTTTAATTTCTAATTATTATTTAATATAAAAATATTGTTTACCCACATCTTTCATTGTAGTTATTATTTAATTACTCGTTTGCCGCACGAGCTACACACTAATTGCTATAATAAAAATAATTTATTTATGTTCAGCTAATTAATTGATCACGATTTCTTAAATTTATATATAAAAAACTATTTCATTACATTTTTATGTCATTTATGTAGTGATTCATGTAAGAATCGCGGGTAAAATGGGTGCGGTCACATGAGATGAAGCACACCAATATGACTGGAAAAGCCCAGATGAAGCTCAAGCGGGGTTTCATCCCAAAACCAATTGGTAGTAGAAGGAATAACCCAGTAGATTTATAAGTTAGACTTATTTTTTTTGTATAAACGATGTAGGACAACTCATAAGTGGTATTCTAACACGCCCCCTCACTTGTGAGTCATTAATACGAAGCCTAAGCTCATATATGGAGCCGGGAGCCCAAGCCCAACTGTGCTGGGTGACGGATACGTCATCGCACGGTCCCACGTAGAACCGATTCTGATATCATGTAAGAATGGAGGGTAAAACGGGCCAACACTGCATGTTTTACAATAATTTTTTTTTTCCATTTTTGCTGCATGTTTTACAATAATTTTTTTTTTCCATTTTTGCCTTAATAAAATGATAAATGCATTGGCTAAATAGCTGACCTGTCAATCGGGCTGCTGTTTTTAGTTAATTATCCAGTCACCATTTTTGTCCTTTGACTAAGCAGCCGTCATTTGATCTAATGCACATGAAAACCACAAAACCTTTATTAATTGTTCTAACATTAAACAATTAAGTGTAATTTTAATTTTAATGCCATTTTGATCCAAACATGATCATGTTAGTTTTGTCCGTTTCCGAAGATTGTAAAACTATTTATATCCAATGCTATGCTTTTAAAAGTTATCGATTTTTAATACATGACTATTGATTACATGCAGTGTTAGTCCACATTGGATATGATATGTCAAATGAATAAAAATATTATTCTTATAAATTCTATGGCATTACCAGATGACTTCTTTATGGAACCAACCATAATTTGATATACTGACACATGTCTAATGTGTATTTATTGTAGGACACGCGTCAATAAAATATTTTTCAATAGCTGTGGATGACTGCATAGCCGAGCCATCCGATGTCTCAATAGCAAACCCGTTTCTTCAATGTATCAATTCATACATAAAAGAAGAAGTTATTTGTTTAGATGAACCCATTAAGTGATTTCTTAATATAAAGTAACAATTCTTACATTACGTGAGATAACCTAATTAGTAGACGGGTCAACCTGTCATACTTTTCTAACAAAAATTTGTACTATGTTGTGAATGTCATACTTTTGTTTATGTTATTTTTTAAAAATATGATATTTCAATTTAAAAGTATGTATATATGATAAAAAGTATGTGTACTTGATCTGCCTAACAATAGTCTTAGTATAGTATTTTTTTTTCTTAAAAGATGATCAATAGTGTTCTCACTTCCCCTTCTCGGGGATTCAAACCATAGGTGAAGCTTCTATCGGT